CAAGAAAAGGGCGTTCTTGATCATTCTTACCTTGTAGAGTTCTACCAAGATATTGTCAATTGATTCTTGGGATTCTGGAGGGCTGAGATGGCGAAAAGACTTAATTGCTTCAATGGCCTCATCTGACCGGTTCAGCTGCTTCATCACAACGGCCATGTCTTTCAGGGCACTTTCAACTCTATCCCCGGAGTTTATAGCTGCCCAGAACAGGGAAACCGCTCTGCTTGGGTCCTTTTCGATTAACTGCAATGGGTTTCATCAGAAAGAACTTATTACCCTCATAGAATACTAATAGACCATGTTTCAGAAATCTTCCAAAGGAGTCAACAAAGAAAGGGAAAGAAAAGGACTTTATTACCTGAACATGCTTAGCCCTGACATAGGGGGAGTCTCCGGCGGGGACTTTGTGAATGACGTGAAAGAGATCTTTGCCGGCGCTGTGGGGACAAGACGGCCTCCTCTGCGACGCCGGAGAGGGAAACGGAGCACTAACCCGTTTGGGCGGCGGCGTATAGAACCCCTTATGGGTCGCCCGCGGCTTCTCGCTAACCAACATCTCAACTCTTCTTCTCTGACGGACCCAAGAGAGCGAGAGAGAAAATCTTGATCTTAAAATATAGCAGTGATTGAAAAGTCACAATGGAATTTGGTGTAGCCGCGGAGAAAGTCGCCTCTTTTCTTGCAGGAAATTTCAGAGATGGAGAAAAGGCAGTTTGAATGGAAGTAGCCGTTGTATATATACGTTTTCGAAATGAGTTCTCCGCATTGTTTATCCGTCCGAAAAGAAGGCCGCACATTTGGATGGGACGCCTGCTTTGGGTTTAGAAGAATGTACTTTACGGCCAATGTACATCTAACAAAACTATTTGCAAAATGTTGGTGGTACATGTTAGCTTAATAGCTTATACCCCAAATGTATTTTGTGTGTACACACAAAAGTAATTTTCACTTCAATAAAAGAAATTGTGGATGACACTGGAAAAGTGAATTGTTATAGACATTCAAAATCACAAACACCATACTTTTTTAATAAAATGAAAATCAATCGCGTAAACGGACGTGTAAGCTGACATGTACAAGTAATATTTTTGAATTATTTGTACACCCAAATGTGGAGAGAGGAGGAGCTAGAGAGGGCCTCACCCCCCCCCCCCCTCCAAAAAAAAGTTGTGATATGTATACATATAGATAAGTAGTCATAGATAGTAAAAAACATACGTGATATTAAATTTTCTTGTTTGGTTCTCACAACATAAATTCTTTAAGCTCTGACCTCCATAACTTATTATTCCTGGCTCTGCCATATACACGTTTTTTAGATGTTTTGTCATGATGTGTCTATAAACATGTTATTCGTATAAACATGTTATTCACAGATAAAGAATAGCTTCTTCACCGACGAGTGTACTTATGGTATAAAAAATGTGTACAACAAGAGGGCTGATATGTACTTTTGTTGCATTAAATTTGTTTGTTCACACATACGATTGTACATGATTTCTTGTTTGAGAGAACAAAAATGTAGCAAATAATCTCATATACACTATATAATTTCTTCTAATTAATAGAAATAAAATAAAATCGCACATGTAAGTTATTTTCCATGTGAACAAAAGCAACATTGTGCAAATTGGTTCTACAAAAAGAAATTTCCAATGGCCTAATGTTTGTTGTCGTATACTTCTCATCCAAAATAGAGTTCCAACTTTATTAATTCTGAACACCGTCTTAATACTAATTTCGATTCTACCAATGAAAATTCTTTGTATTCTCTTATTTTGAACTTATAATTTAGTGTCTAAATATAAAAAGTAAATTATAAAAAATAATTTATACTTCATCCCACAACTTCTCATTTTCTTTTTTAGGATTTTCAAAAATAAAGTTCCTAAATTTTAATAATATTTTAGTGGTAAAGTACTACTTAGTATGCTATATTTCCACCCCCAATGAAAAAACATTATTAATCATTATTTTTGCTATCATACTATTGAGAAAGTATATCTTGAAAAGTGAATATAAGAAGTAATTTTTTGGCTAAAAGTCTATGACTTCAAATTAAGAACTTAATTAATTGCGGAAGGGATGAAATATACTGTTAATAAGAACCACAACTTAATGTTTTATTTTTTTAATTTGACAATTGTATCCCCCTCACATCTCATAATGTAAGTCCTCGGAGCACCTCTTCAACCACGTAATTTTTTATTGAAAAAATTGATAACAATAGGCCCAATTATTGTTGATTCATTTATAATAATTCTAACTATTAATTATTTTAGAGTAATCCTAACTTTTTTGACCTTCTGATAATAATGGTCGTCTCACATGACCAGTTACCTATTTAGCCAATTACAAAAGAAGTATCTAAGTGTAAGAATCCAAAGTACGATCTGTCGAACTTTATTAAACCCTCAAAATTAAATGAGAATTTCTATAAATAAATAGAAAATGTTAAAAATTGATCATATATATCTTTTTACTATAATTAGCTTTTTATGTAGTTTTTGAAATTAATGAATATAAAATATGGAAAAACTTCATGAAAAATTTATAATATGTAAGATATTTTAAATATATAAAGAATATAAAATATAAATATAGAGAGTAAATTGGCCAATATAAAAACCTTAAAGGGAAAAATGAAAGTGCAAATTAAGTACAAATTCAAAGTTAAAAAATGAAGACCTACAGTTCTAAAATTAAGATAGAGCAAATAATAAAAGATACTCCGTAATATATTTTCTTAATATTAAAAAGTTAAAAGCTAATCATCCTATTAAATTATCGAAGAATTTTAACATTTTGAAATTTTCATAACATTTTCTATGTTTTATCGGAAACTGTGCCAGATTTTCTATGTTTTATCTGGTCCCAAACTGTGCCGGGTTTTCTATGTTTTATAACAAAGTCACAGCTAAGTGGGCTGCTACAAGTGTGTCACGTCAACGAGTGACCTGTTAACATGACAAGTCACCTACAAATAGACTCAATTGAACATTTTTACAAAGTTCGAGGATTTGATTGATTTATTAAAAAGTACGATGACCTATTTGACTTTTTCGTAATATTACGAGGATCAAATTGACAATTTTCCCTTAATGTCGGATAATATGAAAAGCATATTTTTAAAATAAGTTCCATATCATTCTTTGTTTACGAAATAATTACACATGAGTAATTAAATAAAGCAAGCCATTGTTGTTATGAAATAATTACACATGAATAATTAAATCATATTGTCATATTCTTGACAATAATACGATAATATGACAATATTTTATAGAATGGAAATAATTATTTTTATTTAGACTTTATAGCAAGTAACATACTCCGTAACACATTTAGATTTAAAAAAGCTGAAATTTCTCGAAATAGGGATACAAAACGGTTTGATATTCTACAATAGGGGCAAATATTTTTGCGTGAATAGTACGGAGTAATTGATTACTCTCTCCGTCCCCTTTTAAATGTCCCGTTTTACCATATTGGGATGTCCCTATTTAATTGTCTTATATCTTATTTGGTAAATTTTATGTGGCTCAAAATCATTCTTACTTTATTTTTACTTTATCAATTAATATCAACCACACAAACTCACTTTTCTTAAAACTCGTGCCACCATCTCCCCTCCCATTTAAAAGGGGACGGAGGGAGTACTTTCGAAATCATACCGCCAAAATTGGCAATATTATACAAAAGACAATGAGTACTCCAATTTAAACAAAAACATGGTCCTGTTTTGGAATATCACATTATTTGTACTCATATTTAGGGCGATTATTTTATTTTACCTATCTATATAGGTATAAAAAGGGAACCGTGTGTTCCATAACTGTTCCAGCCTAGACAATTCACATGGTCATTAACCGCTGCTTCATATTTGTAAATTGTAAAACCATCATGTCGTTCTAAGTCATTTACTCCTTATCTAAGTGCTTGCACTCCTTTGTACATTCATTTGTTCTCCGCGGATTTTAATTATACGAGTAACCTCAGGTGCTCATCGTCTTAATCAAATTATTTTGAGTACATTTACAATCACACATGTGTTATTTCATCGATCTGTTTATCAATGACATGAATAATTCCAGTATAAATGGGGTTTAAAGCTGTGGTTTTCCATGAGCAACACAATTACACAAGAAGTACCCTGCAAATTAAAAAAATACCCCGTAGGCCCGTAGATGCCAAATACAGTACTTCGTATGAGATAGATGTATCTTCGTAGAATCACATACAAGTACATACGCCGCCTTAATGTTTGATCATGGCAAGTTAAAAATAAGATTGTTCAAATCTCATGCATGGTAGGGGTCTGATCTTATAAGTGATGTAACAGTGTAAATGTGTATTATGCTCTGATCATCTTATGCATAGATGATAGACGTATATATTATTGTAATTTATTTATTCTTAAAAGTATGACATAATTATAAGATAGTATAATAATGCGTAGTATAAAAATCAAGCCACAACAAGACACAACATTAAACTTACTACCTCCGTCCCATAAATAACTCCTCTTTTGAATTGGCACACATATTAAGAAAGTGGGAAATGTGTGGTGGAGAGTTGTGCAGAGGAGAGAGAAATGTGTAAGAATGATTGTGAACCACAAATCCTTTGCTAAAAAGGGAAAGAGGAGATAAATTTGGGACGGACCAAAAAGGAAAGAATGAAGATAATTATGGGACGGAGGGAGTACAATTTATGAATGATAAGCAGGTATATACTTACTATACGGAGTAGAATATATATATATATATATATATATATATATATATATATATATATATATATATATATATATATGGTACTCATGCATTAAAACATTGCCTACTTTGTTTTTCAACCGTTAATTCATATATATGGTACTCACGTCCCGATGAGTTTGACGTGATTTTAAGAAAATAATTATCTGTTCTTAAATATACGGAGTAGGGGAGATGTCAAGAAATTGAATAATATGTTCTTATATTTAAGTACTGTATTCACTTTCCAGCATTTGGTCATTTTGGTGAATGTTTTTCTTTCTTTTTTAAATTCAACCCCGATCCCATACGGAGTACTATTTTATCGCAATATTTATACATCATAATATAGGGAGTATTTTTTTAACATTAAAGCATATCTTTATAATTACTTTAAAATAATCACGCAAAAAATACAAACATATTATTGTCCCGTGCATTGCACGGGTACAATACTAGTTAAATTAAATTGTTCAGACAATCAAAATCTTGCAGCTATTTCCCTTGCAGCAGCAGTATGCATTATACCACCAATGGACGTATATTCCGTATATTTTCGCATGTGGATTCTTCTCACAATCCCGAAATTTAAACACGGAATGGGGTGAGATCAAGTTTGAATGGTTTCTTCCCTTTGCTAACCCCCTTCAGATTTGCCAAATGATAGAAAAAGAATGACTTAATATATTGAATTGGGGAAAGAATAAAATATTAATCATGGGGAAGTAATTAAGTAAAACATGTTCAGGCCAATTGAAAAACTTCACAGATCTTTCTAAATTGGAAAACACTTACACTGATTGCGATTAGCTCTTCCAGCAGTTCTTCCAGATGGCGAAGAGGCTATTTTAAACAAGAAACAGAAATGTTCATTAGGTTGACTGTATACCAAAGGGAAAATGAAGGCTAAGGGTCGAGATTGGGCAGTTAATAAAACTTACCCACTGTGTAGGACCATCTACTGGAGCATTTAAAGGATCATTATGCACCTTAGGAGCCAAAAGGGACATAAGAACGCTCAATCAATAATACATTTGCAAATATATTGTTCGCCCAATCAATTAATTAAAAGAAATTGTCCTAAATAGGATTAGAACATTATCAAAGTTCATTAATAAGAGTTTAAGTTTATTATTCCCTAAATATGACTCTGTTTTACATTTTCACCCTACATATAATTAAACCCAAAAAGCTGTCTCCAGAGCGATGGCTCTGCGATTTCCTGCTACCAAAGCTGTGCTTGATGACACCACAGCCAAAGTTGCCGCCACTCTTCTATAATTTCTCCAGCGATCGAAAACATCTCTTCTTCTGCAATTTCTTCGATGAAGTCAGGCAATCTCCTTCTCTTCCTCCTCCGTCTTCTTCTCTTCCTGGTCCTCCATTTTCTTCATCTTTTGAATTTTTTTAATTTTCTATTAAATACTTTGAGATTCTAAATGAAAATGTTATTTTAAATTAGAAATTTTTGGATGGGAAAGGGAGGTTTCAACGACCAGTGATCAGAAATTTTCAATTTGAATTTTATTTAGTTTATTTTGAATTTAAAAATGCCAACTATTGGTTCATTCCAAAACGGATTTGAAAAACGCCACATCTGTGGCATCACATCCATCGGGAAATATTACTTTGAAATTATAATATTTAGAATGCCATATTTTTTACCTGCTTGACAAATAGGGTGATTTTATGTCACTAATTTTGTTAAGATGTCATTTTAGTATTGAATTTTCATTTTTCTTCTACTTCACATATACTCCGTATTACATTTTCAAATTTAAATTGTCATTATTTTAATATGATAATGTCATTATTCTTATGAAAATGACAAAAATTCTAAGCTAAAAAAACTTTTATTCTATCTGAAAATGTAATGTCTTCACATGTGGATATGCCATATTTTTTTGCAAATGCCATTATTATGTCAGTTTAAAACAAGATGGCAGTCTTGCTGGAGATAGGAATGGGACTCGTCGGAGAGTGGATGCGGCAGCTCATGGGAGGGTGGCGGCGGCGGCCTAGCCTAAGGGCGGCAACAACGGTGATGTGCTGGAGGATGGAGGGGACACCATGGGTGTGTTATCAACAGCCGATTAGGATCGACTTGGGTCCTGCTGTTTTTCTATTTTTTTTTTTGTTTTTAATTGCACCTGGAATTTCATTAAAGGATAGTTTTGTCAAGTGGGTATAGTTTTAGTCCTATAAAACATTGAAGACCTAGTTATCCATTTCTCCATTGTTTTAGTCTTATTTAAGGAATTTACTCATTAATTAATTAAAAACAGCTTTTAATTTCTCGAAGGGTTATTTAACTTTTAACCTCTCAAGCATAAAACATGCAAGCTTATACAAAAATCAAACCTGTACTCATTTCTCTAAACCAGAATTACTATAACATACCTCCATAAAAAGCCCATCCACTCCTACAGCAACGGCTGTCCTGGCAATGCAAGGAATCAATTCACGAAGACCGCCACTAGCAACACCTCCCCCATCCAACTGTATGATGAACCAAAAACATGATACTGCTCGATAGATTCATAACGCTTAAGATCAATGTGAGAAATACATGCTTGTATTATGTACTATATAGCACAAGAAAGATAATCTGATCCCTTTGCTGTTTATTGGTTTTTTTCCTTCAAAATAAAAGAAGCGGGTGTATGGTTCTAACTTTAGAGTGTTTTTTGGGAGATAAACTTTAAAAAACATAACACTTTTTATGGGCCGGAGGAAGTGTAATTTATAAGTTAAAGATGCATTAGTTTCGTTCCTACAGTCTGCAACTGTTAAGACCGATGTATGTGGTTTGTAACTAATGCCAAATCTTACAATATTAAAACTGATCGCTCACCTTCTTTCCAGCAGGTTGTTGCAAAGAATGTGTTATATCAGCCACCTTAAACACACATATAAGTTTGGTACACTGTTAGGAAACAAGGCAGATGGACTGAAATGAAGAATCAATTTCAGAATCAAACATAGTACTCCGTATATAATTTCTTACCACTGGACAATTTGCTTCCCTCATCCATTCTAAGTTCCGTGGATCAACTATCAAGTCATCTGCATAAACAAGTGATATATTTTTAAACTTTTAAATGAAAAAGGGAATATTACACTCATAGGTTGAAGCAGAAAATAGGCTACGTAGGAATACGCCATTTCTATCTTAACTCCAAGGTTGTGGATGTTGTTTTCATAGATTTTCAGGTACAATAAATTTCCATTTCTGAAGTTCAGTTTACCATGCATTAAAAATAAAATTTAGTTTGGATAGCATGTCCAGAGTACCCTAAAACAGATATCTTAACTCTCCCTTTTTTTAACATAACAGGCATAGGAGATGTGAGACTGCATTTTATGTTACAGATATCCTTCACATCAGATTCAGAAATTCTCAACCTGCAAATTCTTAGTGCCACTATCATTATAAAATCCAAAAATGCAGACATAATTAAATTAAAAAAACTATTCATTGGTAAGATATTGAAGCTGACTTACTATAGCCAAACATGGTGCCTCTCTCGCATACCATTACATTGTCATTTCCAGCCAATCTGACCTTTTCAGCAGAATTTAACATGACCTTGAAACACAGTGCATTTATCAGTTGAAAAGTTTACAGAGAAAATAATAAGAAGTAAAACATCATGACCCAATACTTCTTTGGATTCCAAGAAACCCAATCATTTTTAAGCATATGACGTACAGATGGTGCACAAAACTGCCCTTTCTTGATATTGATTATTTTGCCAGTCTTGGCAGCTGCAACAAGGAGGTCTGTCTGCAATTTAGGAAAAAGGAAACCAATAGTGTAACTTTTGCAGAGAAATCTTGCATAGTGTTAACTGCAAAAATAGAATAAATACATAAATAAATAAATGTAAAGATTTGATAACCAAAGCCAGAGTTTAAGCTGATAGACTTACCTGCCGGCATAAGAAAGCAGGAATTTGAATTATATCAGCAACCCTCCCCACTGCTTCACACTGAAAAAAGCAATAACAAAGAGGTGTCAGAGCCCACAGTTGAAAAGTGTGTGTTTATCCGGCATGTTGTTCAATTCTGAATAGAAGAACGTCAAACAAATTGGGGGGGTCTTTGTCTGACGTGTCAAAGAAAGATGAAGAAAAAAACGTTCTTTAAAGCTAAATAAGAAAATCAAAAGCTCTGATTATGAGTCATTCTGATAGAATAAGACAATTAAGGATCCCATATGGAGTCTTATCCCCCTACCACAGCCCCTTGCCTTAATAAGGTTCACGCTTCAACTGAGGTTGTTTTTAATGAATCATTTTTCATTTTTTTTCATGTTTTCTCTTGGGGGGAATAAATGAGCTTAGTAAATTAAAATCACATTTTTTTTACCAAATAAGGAAAGGGGACTTTATCACACGGGAATATGCATCATTTTGCAATAAGAAATCAAATGTCACCTGAATGCTTTCATGAACATCAGTCACCACGGGTACATCATAAATTGTTTTCACCCTTTCAAGGATCTGCAGCAGGAAAAGAGGAACAAAAGACTTATAGATTTGAATGGAATTGCACACAGCATACATTACTTAAAATTGTTCGTGGAGCTGTTGTTTATAACAACCTAATTGAAATGATCCAGTGGAAAAACTGCACTTTGAACAGTGAAAGGAAATATTTGTCTATACCTTCAAACCTTCATACATGCCAGGACCACGGAATGATTTGGAGGAAGTGCGATTAGCTTTGTCAAAGCTTGACTTGAATACAAATTTTAGCCCAAGTCTAGAGAGCAGATCAAGATTATAAGAAACGTTTTCATCCAATGTCACTCAAGATGGGAAAGAATGTCAATATAGGATCAGAAAATACACGTAGTTCAAAATAGGTTTAAGTATGTTTTATTCTCTAAATAGGACTTATTTAGTCCTATTAAAAAAAATAAGTTGATTAAAAGTTCCCAAAATCAGAGTGAATGAGTCATATTTTCAGAATAGGACAATGATAGTCCTATTTATGAACTTTATTCTTGTTTAAGTTGTTTTAGTCCTACTTAGGGAAATTTCTCTTATAATATAACTAACATTGAAAAAATTAACAAAACTATCAGTTCAGACATGTTGGAGGAGGAAAACTCAATAACAAGAAAACATCAGAACATACATTGCCTCCAATTACACCAGTGAGTTCTGGCTCACCTAGATAGGTGTGTCGCAAACATATATTCATCACGTTTCAGCTTAAAGTTCATCAAGTTTGAGCTAAATACCTATCACAATTATGTTGACATTCATTGACTTTTAAGTAATTAAAACAAATGGCAGAGACAATGGACAAGAGTGGGGGAACTACTCCCTCTCCTCCAAGATAAAATGTTGACTTGTACGTGTGCAAATAGGACTGATTGTCCCCCTCAAAACTGTTAAAAAACTTATTACAATGTTAGGCACTGCTCTATTATCAAAATCCAGTTCAGAATTTCAAAAATTAATATATCAAAGAAATAAAAACCAAATCAAATAAAATTTCTTAACTAATACATTAAACTTTATACAGTCTTATTTTTCTGTGTTTCCTGTCTAAATCGCACAAATTAAGAAAGTTGCATTAAAATTTCTTAACTAATGAATTATTACTTTATACAATTTGTGTCAGACTATCTTTTTTGGGTTTTCCAATGTATTTAGTACGTAGTATTTAATATTGAAGGGGGGGGACCTTGTACATATTAAATAGGAGCGGTGGGAGTACAAATATTTTGTTAATATCATCACCTATTTTTAAAATATTTTTCAATTGTACGAGTGCAGAATATACACATCACATTATCGAGTGACACATTCAAAATCTGATAAAATAAGTATTGTTTTTAATGTAAAACTGCAGTTAGATTTTGAATAATTTACTTCAGTTACATGTTTATATTAATTACAGTAGATTTTTTTAGATATAGTTTGTGTATCATATGCACTTGATGTTCAGATTATGTGATAGGTGGAATTAGAGTACGCACTTGGAAGTCAGGGCCTTCAAGTGCTTGGCCATGTAAAGAATATGATCCTCAGATTCAATCACATTGGGACCAGCGAGTAAGAAGAAGGGCTCCGCCGCCTGTGATTGATCAGAAGAAGAAGCACTCCCATCACAAATGTGGATTACAGGTTATATGTGATAGAGATTTCATCATATTTCTAACAATATACTACTCGTACTTAAGAAGAAGAAGAAGAAGAAGAAGAAGAAGAAGATTTTCGAACCTTGAGCTGGCTGTATAGCAGTGAGGATGAATCCATGTTTGGTACCTTTGCTTGTTTCTGTGTCATCAAGATAGATCAACGAACAATAAGAATCAAATGAGAAGTGAGCTTTATCGGGTCACACTTGCCTACGGCCCAATATGGATTTCAATCACACTCCGTATGCAATTCAGTTCAAAAGCTCATTTGAATTGTACTCCTTATGGAGTATTTGATAATCCTACTCTATACAAAAGGAGGAGAAAAGGGTTCAAGTCTCCCGTGCAAATCTAAGACCGGAGCGATTCGCGAATGCTGACCTCAACTCTGCAACTGCAAGTCTGGAGCGCTGCTTGACGTGCGTCGCTGCGAGTCTGCGATAGCTGACAGGGCCACAGAGAGGAGGAGGAGGAAGGCGGGCGGCAGGGCTGAGGACTGGAGGAATGGAGGAGGATCGAGGATTCAAAGGATAAAAATATTTGTTATTAATAAATAAAATAAAAAATTATACTCTGTATTAATAAATAGCTAAAATGATCTTGTATAGTAACTTCAGCAAATACAGTCATAAAATATCTCCAACTTTACTTTTTCTGTTTAATGCACAATTGAGCACGCAAAATCAAAAGTTACGTGTTTGGTGAAAAAACTGGTTGATAAGTCTGATAAGTCGGAAAAAAATGTCATCAAACGGGCTCCAAATATGTTAAAACAGAGGAAACAGTGTTGGCTGGGTAAGCACGGGGCGAGGAATACCTGATTGGGAAAATTTCACAAATAAGCAAAAACAGGAAAATAATATCACTTTTGTCTAGGCAAGATTCGGTTTTCACAAATAAGCTACCTAAGCTTTTTATTTCAAAAATATCACGTATATAAACGACCAAAATTAGAAACTCAGAGCTCGATCACCAAAATTAGAAACCCATAGCTCAATATCGTTCAACGATGGCTACCTTCCTCAGTGCGCGAAAATATTCTGCAAAGTAGTTTCCGATTTGTAATGTTCAATCGAAGCTATCTACCACATCAAAACATCGATCTCAATCTTCCAAACGAAGATTGAATCGATAGAACACAATTCTGATCAGCTGTGAAGACTCTACAGCAAATCAAGTCTCGTTTTCATAAAATTTAATCAATCATCGAGGTCAGATAATTACAATTCCATATTTCGTTCAGTGTTGCAAATAAGCTTGAATTTAGGAATGTAATTTTGTTGCGTTTGTTGATAAAGTGATGATGTTAAATAAGTATGTTTCTGCGTATCGCACTACTATGTTGATCATGATTCTCGTTGATCGTTAATATTCAATAAGTCTGTGTTTCTGGATATCAACATACTTTGTAGATGTATTGATTATTAAATATAGAATGATATTTGTTGTGAATAACAGGAAACATGGAAACAATACCTGTTTTTGTTCATCACGGTGGTTTTTGGAATGAAGCCATGGAATATGTAAACTTCTGTGTTTTTGGAATTACTTTGGCTACAAACAACTCTTTTGCTGATTTGATTGAAAAGGTAGCAGATAGGATTGGAATACAAACAACATCAACCTCATTAATAGTTCAATACAAAGTGAGAGACAACTATCCACCACTAATGATACAAGATAACTCAGCTCTGTTGTTTTATTTGCATCTGAAGAAACAAGATACAGATGTGACGAAGTTCCCTCTATGCATCACCACTGCTGATGTACAAAAAGAAACAAATTGCAACATGTTTCTTGTTGGAATCAACAAGTGGAAACAACAACTGGGATGCAAAAAGGAACACTGTCTGAAGAAAGATCAACGATTAGTGAAGAGATAGACATTAATGCTTTTATATTAGCATGGGCAAATAAGGGGGTGTTTGGAAGTGATTCTGCTTCTGCTTCTTTTTTAAAGCAGAAGCAGAATCAGAATCAGTTTTTCAGAAGCTGGTCACCCCCAGCTTCTAAAAAAACTGATTCTAGGAATAAATTTGAGTACCAGAATCACTTCTGCACTTTCATCCAAACACTCCAACTTCTGCTTCTGCTCCCTGACGGAGTAGAAGCAGTTTTAAGAATCAGATCCAAACACCCCCTAAAACAACTGATGAACTACTACAAGATAAATTTATGGAGTCAGAAGCAACAAAGTGCAACAACTGTGATGTAGCCCTTGAAGTAGGACTGATATACAAGAACCATGCTGAGTTCAAAAAGCACTGAAGTTGAATGCTATAAAAAATCACTTCCAGTACGTGACTGAAAAGTCAAATAAGATTTGTTTTGTGGCTAAGTGTTTGGATGAAAATTGCAGTTGGGAGATAAAAGCAAGACAAATTGGAACAATGGGAAGGTTTAAAGTTGTGAAGCTTGTAAATACACATTCCTGCAGATTAGAAGTAAGATTAGCAGATCAAAGGCATACAACATCAAGTTTGGTAGCAGAATGCATTCAATCTAAGCTATTGGATCCAAATGCGCAATATAATGCAACCGATGTAAAGAGGGACATGCTACAGGAATATGGTGTTGAAATCAGTTACTTAAAAGCATGGAGAGCAAAAGAAAAAACACTAAATAAACTCAGAGAAAAACCAGAAGAATCATATGGCTTTTTGCCACGGTTCCTGAATATTGTGAAACAAACAAATCCTGGATCATTTGTGCAACTTAAAATTAATGAAGACAACACATTCTTGTATGTCTTCATGGCTATTGAAGCATCAATTAAGGGTTGGGAATTTTGCAGACCAGTTATTGTAGTTGACGGGACATTTTTGACTGGGAGGTATGGCGGAACACTGTTAACCGCATCAACACAAGATGCTTGTGGAAAAATATTCCCTATTGCATTTTCTGTAGTTGACTCTGAGAATGAGAAGCTTTGGTTTATAGAAGTGGAATGGTGATTGTTTCTGATAGACATGAGAGTATTGCAAAAGTTGTTCTAGATGTGTATCCAGAATCTGGGCATGGGGTATGCATATATCATCTATTCAACAACCTCAAGACAAAGTTCAAAAGAAAAACAAAGAAAATGAAAGACAGTTTTTTTAAAGCTGCACAAGCATATACCAAAGATGACTTTGATTGGCACATTGAGGAACTGAAGAAACTGGATGAGGGGATAGTACCATATTTATACTCGGTTGGGTATGAAAAATGGACTAGAGTTTTCTCAACATAAAAAAGATACTCAACAATGACTTCAAATATAGCCGAATCCTTGAATGCCGCATTGAAAAAGATAAAAGATCTGCCAATAACTGTGTTGCTACAGTTCTTGCATGCATTGGTACAAATATGGACACATGTGAACAGAAATATTGCAAGAAACACATTCAGCAAACTTGCAAAAGTTCCACATGAAACACTAGAGCAAAACTACCTCAAATGCATGAAGCTAAAGGTATATAGTGCTTAAATTATATGAAGTTAAATTTTATTAAAAAGTGTGAACATAACAGTTTGAATTGCAGGTGATTCCTTCTAGTGAAGCAATATTTACTGTTTCTGAAATGAACACAAGCTTCATTGTTAACTTAGAGGAAAATAATTGCACTTGTAGAAGATTCCAAATTGATAAATTGTCATGTATTCATGCACTGGCAGTACTCAAAAAAATGAATCGAGAGTCGTACAAATTTTGCTCATCTTACTACTTAAAAGACACGATACAACAAACATATCAACGGACTGTGCATCCAATTCCAGATCAGGGGACATGGCCAATGAATACTTGCGATCAAATGAAAATCTATCCCCCACATGGAAGGAAAAGGTCTGGAAGGCCAAAGAAGCAGAGGTACAAGGCACACTGGGAGAGTACAAGTACACACAAATGTGGGAAGTGTGGAAACCAAGGGCACAACAGAAAGACATGTAGGAATGCACCACAATAGTAGAAAGTTTCTATAATGTAGTTTCTATAAAATAATTGTTTTGCAAATTCTCTCAATTGCTACTGTTCAAACTCAATTTAATATAAATATGCATTCATATTGTTAGTGTCCATTCTGTATAAGTTTTATTTATATTCTGTGACGAAAAGTTCTATTATGGGATTAAATACGAAACCAGAAACAATAAACAACAAGAATAAACAAGTAAAAAACAACTGCTATTTTTTTATAAACAAAAAGAAATGAAAAGAAACAATAGAAGAAACAATTTTTTCTAAAGAATAAACAGGCACACAGTAAGGAAACAAAGTGTAGAAACATGAAGGTAGTAATGTAATTATTTAAGGAAGACATTCAGAAAGCAATGGCATAAACATGAGATATAAAATAAGAAATAGAAACAAATATAAACAATGAAAACCACTAACAAAAACAAACAGAAATAACAAAAAAACATATGACACAGAACAATAATATCTTTTCAAAACAATCGTATAACAACAGTAAACAGAACAACTGTATCACAAAAGTAAAACATTATGTTTCCAAAAGAACAAGTTCATATTTGGTTTTTACATTACAAGCCCACAAAACAAAAGTACATTAATTCTTGCTACATCTATTTAATTAACTTCTTCAGCTTCTTCCTCTTGGGTTTGATTTGTTCAGCATCACTCTGGACTTCACCATTTATTTTGGACAATCCATATTGGTAGAGAAAGTAGGAAAGCCTCGTCCTGTAAAGCTCAATATCCAAAAATTCATGAACCGCTATGCCATCGATGAAATACTCGGCAAAAGCAGCAACAAAAGCACCACAGTCACTATAAAAAGTATAGTAAAAAACAATATTGTTAATGGTAAAAACATAAACAAAATATAAAAAATAATATAATTAAATGAATGAACTTACCATGATTCTTGGACAGGCAAGTCAAGCACAAATTTCATCTCTATATCCCTGTGAATATCCAATCCATACCTAGAGAAGTGATCCATGCGTCGAAAAAACAATGGGAGCATCACAAGTAGTGGCTGCACAACTTCTTTAGCAAGAGATGCATCCCTTGGACTGTTCATTGAATTATAAACATAAATGCACCAATCTTTGATGCACAACCCAACAAGAATCCAATGCATCTATTTCTTAATATACAATGGCATGAGAACATGTTCAACTTCATCCCAAGGCTTAGAATAGGGCAACTGCAAGCCTACAATACAATCACATATATTTTGCAAATTTTGACCAAGAAAAGGATTTCTCCAAGGTTGCAACATAGGCTTTTTGTATATTGACTTGAAAAAGAACATCAATTGTTGTGAAACTGCATTTGCATATCTTAGTAACTTCGACTTTTTTCCTAAAATAATGAAAGATCACATCGATATGCTGCAAGAAAAAGGAAAAAATTAGAAAAAATAATAATAAATAAATAAATAAATATAAACAAATATCAACAAATATAAACAATATATAAAAAAAAGTAAACAAACATACATAATCTGATATCATTTGACCAACATAATGAAGACTATGGAACCATGTCTTAGATTCCACAAAAGCAACAGTAAAGTCAAATCCAGGACTCAGATGATCAATTTTCTCAGGATACATTAACTTTGATCTACAAAATAATAAAAACTTAAGTTAAAAAAAAAAAGATATAAGAAAATCTATAATATATAATGATAATTTTAAACAGACTTCTTCTGCTTGAACGCTTTTTCATCAATCCAAATATTAAAAGACGAAAGAACATCATATGCTGGGACACAGACTGCTTCATCGAGAAAAGGACATGGAACCAGGGCAACGGAAGACTGTGGAGACTCACATCCTGAAGTAAACTCACCAACAAAAGAAGATTTGACGAAAACACTAGGCTTAACACTCCTTTTATGCTTAACATTGGATTCATCTGTATGAACACCTCATATAGGTGTAATAAAAGGAACTAAACCCATCGTAGGATTTGTAGAACCCGAAGCAGCATTTGTGCTAGATAACTACAAAAATAAAAATGAATACTAAAACAAACATAAAATGAGAAAAAAAAGCTAAAGAAAAATGAAAAAACATTCAATACCTTGGCACTCTTAAAATGTGAAACAAGGGAATCCAGTTCAGCATAAAAAGATTCATCATTAACACAATCATCACAGGGAGAAATTGGTTCTTGATCAATTGGTTGATTCTCAACAGTCATCATATCAATAAAAGTAGAAAAAACCATCTTTTGGCAATGCTCCAACAACATAGAATCAAGTTCACAATGCTGCATACCAGTAACACTAGATAAAACAAGATTATGAACGTAGTCCATCAGCACGGAATCATGCTCATTTGACATGGAAGTAGTAACAGTTGAAAAAACTATAGTGTTGATGAAATTGAAAAAGATATCAGAATCTTCAGACGAAACAACAGCTGCAACACTATCAGACACCAACTCCTGTAAAAAAAAATATACTTCATAAACTAGTAATGACAAAAACATTAAACCAAAGAAGGAAACAAAATAAAACAATGTAAAACATAATGCAACATATGAAAATCAAACATGTTGATTATCTATGGCATTCACACAAGGATCAGTAGAAAATATTGGATCATGTAAGAGACCACACTCAAGACCAACACGAACAAAGACAAAGTCATCAATAGCAACAAAGCGAGACTTAATCTCATTAAGAGAAAGAACAATTGTAGGATCATCTTGAGAAACATTGTTTTCAGAAACTGGAGTTTGTCTACAAGGAGTTTGGTGTGAGGATACAAAACCTGAAACTGACTGCTTGGAAGATTGAAATTGATAAAGTTTTATAACACGATCAAGCTTTTGTTCTAAAACAGTAAACTTTCGCTGAACAAATTCCTTGAAATCTGCAAGTTTACTATCTAGACGTTTTTCAAAGTCAAATAAAGCAGAGCTTGATACAGCATCGCCAGAAAAAACATGAGGCACCTCCCCAGCATTTGAAGTAGAAGGAACACTTTGGGGCCTTAAGATATTACCAGCAAACAAATCATCCAATTCAGGTGATTCTTTTTCAACATCAGAAAGAACAAGATTGTGTAACTTCAGCTGCATAATAGAAAAACAAAAGACAAAATTTTGAAAATCAAATAAAAGATTAATAAAAAACATAAAACAAGGAAAACAAGTTTTTAAAAAATACCTGAGAAGCAGATAAACAAAGAAGTTTCATATTCAATTTCTTGAATGTGAGAGGAACAGATGAGTGCCAAGACAGTATACGGGGAAGTAGAGAACCCGATCTTGAAGCAAAAACGTCATCACAGTAATCACAGCATTCATAAAACCACACCTGAAGTGCTAAAGGAAATTCCAGAATACGGTAAAAGAAATAATCGCTTTTTATAGTATCCGCTCTCACGAGTCTGCCCTTCAAATTTTGTAAAGTTATATAAAAAAGGTCCTTCCCCCAAGGGTACGAATCCCACAAACCAGCATTCACAACAGCAACATAAGTTTCACTAATAAACTTTTCCTTAGGCGAAGTAAACAAGAACAAACCAATAACATATAGAATGACAATTTTCACGGCATCTTCATCACAATCCGCATGTTGACCAAGGAAACAAGTTGCAATTGCTTCACGACTAACTTTAGAACAGTTGTTGAAATATTTTTTGGTGAGGTCATTGGTGTCTAATGAAGTAAGAGTAGACTCATCAAATTGACCAGAACACGTTGAACCAGTAACAACAGCAAATTCAGTCATGGAGAACCGCAAACGAAAACCAGAAACTTCAAACCACATCTCATTTGGAAGACTGTGACTAAGTTCTCTTAAAAGCAAACAATGAACAACTTGAGGCTGAAATTTAAGGTCTTGAAAATCTAAGAATTTACCAAAGCAAGTTTCCCTAAATAAACTCAATTGAACGTCAGTCAATTTCGCCTTCAGATTAGATGCAATGCAATCTTTGTTATATAACTAGAAACCCTACTGTTAAACCAGGATTCATATGGAATAAAATACTCCCATTCCTGAAGTAAAAAACACAACAAAAACAAAGTGAAATCAACAAATTGAAATAAAAACAAAGTGAAACAAATGAAACAACAAATTACATACACAAATGGAAACAATAATGTAAATATACCAAGACGGTAAGTAATTACCTTAAATCCGCCAGGTTTGATTTTAATTTTCCTCTTATTGACGGAGATCTTAGACTTCTTCCTTTTTGCTTTAGCAGAAACTTTAGCCCTCTTCTTCACAGCCTTAGAAGCATTTTCGTTTTTTCTCGTCTTCCCAACGAGATTTGAACTTCTACTTCCAGAAGCGGAATAGGAAGAACCGTGAGCCTCAGAATCACTTCCCTTATTCCATGCAACAGACGCCCTGGTAGTATGACGAGGAGTATTGTCGTTTTTTCTCTTCTTCCCAACGACATCAGAACTTGTACCAGAAGGGGAGTGCGAAGAACTGTTAGCCTCAGATTCACTTTCTTTAGCCTCAGATCACTTCCTTTAGCCTCAGAATCACTTCCTTTGGCCTCAAAATCACTTCCTTTATTCAATGCTATAGACGCTCTGGTAGTACGACGAGGATTTAAACTTGACATAGTTCTGAAAAACGATAAACACTGATAATGCAGAGGATGAAGAAAAAGAGAAGAACAAATTCAAGGAGATGATCGAAGAAGAAGTCAAAGCAGAGAAGGAAACCGTGAAAGAGAAAAATGAAGTGTGATGGAAAGAACGTTGTAGAACGTGCAGAAGGTTGGATCGAGATTGGCTGAAACGGTCTATAACTGAAATAAAAAAAACAAAAGTGAAAAGATAAAAGTTTAAAACTGAAAAAAAAAGTGGTTGAGACATTAATGATATACGGGCCACTAAAGTAGCCCAAAGGGGTAATTTCCACTACCTGATTTATATAAACGGGTAATGAGGCGGGTACAATTTTATACTTACCTGTTTAGTTCGGTTAAGGTTACAGTTATCCGGATCATTACCATACATGTGCATATACTTTGTGTATACCATGTACTTTATGTATTGCACTTTTAAGTTATACTAGTATACAGGGGCGGAGCCAGGACATTGGGCCGGACTGAGCCGATACAAAGAATATTTTTGGGAAAAAAAATTACACGGATTTTTTACACTAAAAATTTAGACATTTTTAAAATTTGGATTGGGCCAGGGCCAGGGTTGGCCCTCCCCTAGCTCCGCCCCTGCTGGTATAGTACTTCTGTACTTGTGCGATGCATGGGATATTATTACACTCTTTGTATTACATCCCAAATTATTTAAAAGCAAAGTGATTTAATAAACAAAACTTAAGTTAATTCAATAAGTACTATCGCATATCACAATGGGCTGTAATTTTTAAAATCCAGCCAATTAAGGTAGTGTATTTACTCTGTATATACTAATATACCCCAATATATTTACAAAAAATCTCCATTAAATTTGTAATGAATAAAAGATTAAAATCAGAACTTCGAACCAGACAGAGTGAATCCATCGGTGCTTCCACCGCCTGCGGCTTGCTCTATTATACGAAGTATGTAACAATAATTACATCCAAAATACAATTACAATTTGAGGTCCAAATAAAATGTGCATTTTCAACAACATTAAATCTCAAATGCGATTTTTTTTATAATTTGAATTAGTAGTGAACAAAATAACATACTAGCTAATTATAATTTTTTTAGTTGAAATATTCATGGGATATAGTTTAGTTGTAATTCTCAACTAATATTCATCTACAGTCTAAACGGCCATTTCTTCCTAAATACGTACTCCGTAGTATATTATTATAACAACTGGCCATACACAATGCACTATCTACGATCCAGAAATAAAAGGATATAGTTTTATTGCACACTTAGGTGACTTTTGGCTAATATAAACTTGATTTGTTCATACATTAACATTGATTAGAAATTACACCAAACTCCTAGTACATTTATTGCACATATATATTACCACATGATTTTTTTTTTGTACACGCTAAAATCCACATGTTTACATCTTTATGCTCATATTCTTTAGATAAATGAATTGAAAAATCAATACCTCCCTAAGTCCCTAACATCCCTCCAATGCACCTCTCAATCACGGCATAAGAGATGGTTGAAGTCGCCTAAGAAGCAGCGGAGCATCAGATGCAGGACATCCCTGGTTCATTTCTGTTGCAATTGGTGTTAGACAGTCCCCCATCATCTCTATAACCATTGTTCCCTCAAAATTCACAAGGAATTTCTGGAACTGCTTCATTGTTTCCTTCATGTGATTTTCTTGCTTTCTATCTGACGAAGCAAGAGCATTAGTCACTTCTACGGGAGAGTAGCCTATTAGTTTTTGCACGGCATTGTGATCAATAAGTATTTCGGAGATAAGGCTTCCATCATCGACATAAACTCTAAGTTCGTAGGAACTGCTTCCTTTATATTTAAATCCCTTCACACCAGTAAGAAAGCACTTTATTTTTCCTTTGACACAGGATGTTTTGACTGTAGCACTTGCTCGCTTAGCAGACAAGCTGGCCATGTAAGTAAAAGGGATTTCCTTGTCTCTATTAAGAACAAAAGGGTGATCCAGCTCATCAACCATGTTAGCGTCTTCATTTATATCTGCAGTAGGTAACTCATCTGACTCAGACTCAGAGTCAACTGTTGTGATATGAACTGGAATGTTACCTTGAGTTCTGCTCTGCCGACTCTCTGACCGAATTCTCGCATCAATTGAGTCAATTTCATCAGTAGAGATAGGCTGAGCACTTTCACTGCAAACAGAAACTGCAACGTCTACTTCTATGCTGCCGGTAGAAGGGGCCCTAAACATTGTTTCTGCACCATCAAACATATGTCGAGTTTCATCAACATCCATAGCTGAAAGGCTAGTTTCTGAATCTTCCCTCCTAGTGGGACCTATGACATCTCTTACCCTACTAATGGTAGTGTCGATGCTAGATGCATGCATTGCCTCCATGGGAAAATGGACAGTGTCGCTATCTACCCTCCTGCTGGGGGTTGCAAAGTTCCCAAGCATATTGCTGGCTGGGATGACTGACACATCCATAGCCTCCAGACATGAAAGGTCACTTTCAGTGTCTTCCCTTCTAATGGGAGTTGTGGTATCTCTAAGCCCATTACTTGGACGGATGCTAGGTAAGGTTTCTCTCCCTTCAAACTGGAGAGGTTGACCACGTTGTCTAGAAGTATCAGGGCATTCTGGAGCAGTGGCACTTTCTTGAGGCCATGCAGCAAGAGTTGATCTAGATGCTAAAGGAGGAGCATCTCCATTTCTTGTTCTTTTTCCCCTAGGTGGCTTATTTACTTCAACAACCAGCCTCTGACGTGCACCCTCCAATTCATCAACCATACCTCCCAGAATTTCAAAAACTTCTGGGACCAACATTAGAATTCCACGCCTTACATTGACATTACAAATGGAAACCTTAATCCCTGCAGAAGTCATGGCATCAAGGCTCTTTAGAGGCCTGTATTCCATCCCAAACACGCGCTGAATACCATCTGTCATGGACAATTTGAGACATCTTTTTATCCCAGCAGGTGCTTCATGGTACCTATCCCGCAGAGGAAAGCTGATATTAGCTATCTCATCCACCTGAAGCACAAAGGGGCCTTTGAGATCAACTGAATGCATGGTGTGCACATTCGGAGGTAGGCCTCCCAGACTGGAAAAGTTCATGTCCGAGTAGAGGAATTGCTTGAAGCACAGCTTGGCTTTTGATGTGGAGTCGAATGCCTGGAAACCTAAGACGGAGCTTTCTAGTTGGCCGATGCAGGACCGCAGCCATTCAGTCCGAATCATGAGCCCCATCTCTTGCAAGACGTGGCCAACAACGCAGTCAGCTACTTGTGCTGATGGCGGGGAGGTGGAGTTGAGGGTAACAGTTTGGAAATTGAGAGTTGCGGTTGTGGCGTCTTCTTCCTCTTCGACTTGCAGTTGTTGTCGACGTCGTGGAATAGGTTCGACCTCTGCTACTTCTTCGTCGTCGGATGAACAAACTATTAGGTGGCGACGTCTCGTCGCCGACATTGCACTGTGATCACCTAGCGAGTTGCGCCCGCTATGAGTATTCCCTGATTCCCAAAAAAAATCAGATTACCACATGAATGATGAATCACATAGGGGTCTCTGACTCCAATGACAATTAAGAAGAAGATTATATCATTTATCTTTGGGAAAAGGTGCAAATAGGCCCATGTACTAACCAAAAAAGGTCAAATAAGCCCTTATTTAGGATGCTCTGTCCGGCCGTCGTCATTTCGGGTGGTTCCCGGTATAATTTTTTGATGAAATTTTTTGAGCATCTTATTCATCAAGTCTAGTTTACTCATACCAAATTTAAGCTAAAACTTCAATCGGAAAGACATTCAAATGAATTCTTGAAGATATCTGCGCTTCTAACTGCGCAGTTATGTTCAAGAATTCATTTGAATGCCTTCCCGATTGTAGTTTTATCTGAAATTTGATATGAGTAAACTAGACCTGATGAATAAGATGCTCAAAAAATTTCATCAAAAAATTCCACCGGGAACCACCCCAAATGGCGACGGCCGGACAGAGCCTCCTAAATAAGGGCTTATTTGACCTTTTTTTTGTTAGTACATGGAACTATTTGCACCTTTTCCCTTTATCTTTTACTGTGATCAAGGCAAGTGATAATGTGGTTATGTGGATAATTTGGCTAAAATTTGAACATATATACCTGGTCAAGTTATTAGCCTTTTTTAGGGGAAATTATGTGGAACATGCTGAAATACCTCTTGATCGGATGGAACTTCTACAACAATTTCAATACGTACAACAACAAGTTCACAAAAGCATATAATAAATTCAAATATGCATGCCAACAAAAAGAAAATAAGTTGATGCATTGAAGGAAACTGATCTTAAAAACAAAATATTACCTAATTATGCTTAGGGAGTTTTGGACATGTCTTACTCAGGGAAAAAAAATCAAGGACCTCGAGCAAATCAAGCTTAAGATCCACAAAAATCAATCATTTTAGCTGTCATTGCTTACTAATGAGACATTGAAAATCATCTGAAACCAATTATCTTCAGCAACCAAACAGGATATATGGAAGAATACCAGGGTGATTACTAGGATAGTAGGATATGAACAAAAATGTATATCTGATATCTCTAGTATTCTAGAGAAGGTTGTTCTTATACAACTTGCACAGTTTATGAAGTACTCCGTATTATATACTTATATCATACTCTCTCCGTCCCGTATTTAAGTTCCTACTTTCCTTTTTTGGATGTCCCAAACAAGTCACACTTCCTTATTTGGCACACAAATCTACACCAAAACAGTGCAAAACAGTGTCAAACACAACAGTGTACTCTGCAATAAAATTTACCCCTCAGTAAAATAATTTTCTTAATATGTGTGAAGTCAAACCAGGAACTTAATTTTAGAACCGGAGGGAGTATATGTGAGAGACTATTTAGTAAGATTGTCAGTTATAGTTTCAAAGTGCTAAATTAGTCTTTTGGGTAAATCTATCATAAATTTTTAGCAGTGCATTTATGCATATAAATTGTTGATGTGTTTAGTAAAATGTATGATGTACATTTTTGTGTCCTATCGACTTGCCCAGCAATGGAAAAAAGGAAAGAACACACAAAATGTAAACATACTGTATTGGCGGTGGATTTCATTGTTCTAAAAACTTAGACACTGATAGTTTAAGCCCTGAGCTAATAATTTTCTCGATCCGTGTATTTCTTATTTATATATATATATTCACTTTTAGGGAAAAACTAGAATGCCCCCTTATTTGTACACATGGCTACTATTTAACTGTAATACTAGCCATTATTTCTGTTATGCATGTGTGTATTTCATGTTAGGAGACCAACCAAGGGCTAGCTTATGGTAATTGAACATTGAGAAATACATTACCTCATGCAATAATGTAGGTTAAGAGCACTTATACTCTAATATTGTAATCGATTACATGCCTAGAAGGCCAAATACAAAAGCCAAGTGATTCATGGTTATATATACTCTCAAACTTTAGTAGCTAGATTAAAATAATTATAATCGGTGTTAAGGCTTGCTTGCTATGTAGCTAGCTAGTATGTATGTATGTAAGTGTAGTTAACTAATCAGATCGATCTTATAAATTGTGTGTTGCCTTCACCAACATGAAGGGTCTGTTTATATAGACTGATGAGAATGTACAAATGTGCATGCAGCGTGGGACATTGCGTTACAGCTATTCTGGAGGGCAATAAGCATTCTATTTGTCTTCTTTTTTTTTCACTTACATTTAAATCAAAATCACAGGAACCCAAAGTTCGGTATCTGCTTTAATGACATTTTAATTGTCCGTATTGATCTTTATCCCTATATACATAAACACTGATAGTTCTAGACTTCTAGCTTACAGTAAGCTAAATCAGAATATTTAAATTACACACCCATGGCTTTGTACCTGTTGCTTGAGTCGGCCTCCAGAGTTAGAGTTGTTAGAGTCCTTGGAAAAAGCGCGCTTGACTTCAACTTGCTTACCGCTTCAATAGTACTCTCTCCTCCGGCTATGGGTTGTTCCTGGCGAATGGACTAGATGAAATCACTCAGAATACGGAGGCGATTCGCAAAATTTTGAAACTCGTCCTGTTTAACCCAATCGATTCAGCTCTAGATGCTGTTTTCGCAGGTCCTTCATTTAAAAAAAAAAAAATTATTTTACTAAACATTATCGTGTAGAATTTACTTTTTCTCGACTGTCGTGTAGAATCTACTTTTTACTTTTTCTATTACATAAAAAACACTTATTTTACCAAACACTATCAACTTTTACTACTAATCACTTTTTCCCAAAAAATGCTTTTATTTAAACACAAGCACTTGCAAACAAAGCCTCAAACTAGAGAGACCGGTTGCAATTTGCCCCCAAAATATCTGATGCATTGACAATTTCACCCCAAAAAATTCTCATATTTTAAAAAAAAAAATCAATCAAAACTTCAAATTTTAGAAAAATGTTCAATTGAGTCAATCAGCAGATTACCTGCCATATTAGCAGGTTATTCGCTGACGTGGCGATCCATGTGTGTGTCACGACATCGCTAAATGGGTGGCTGAGCTTCCACATGCGCTCCACGTCATCAAAGTTACTGATGATTGAGCTTCCACATGCATGCCATGTCAGCAGAGTCACTGATGATTGAGTTGCCACATGTGTACCACGAGAGCATGTGGCTTGCTGACGTGGTGGGTAACCTGCTAATATACTCAATTGAACATTTTTAAAAAGTTCGGGAATGTTATTATTTTTTAAAAAGTACGAAGACTTAAATGCTTAATTGACGTTTGCGTGATTGTGCAAGGACCATATTGACAAATTTCCTTACATTTAATTGCATTTTTAATTATATGCTGGTGTATTTTATCATTGTACTAGCGGGTGTACTTTAAGTTTAAGATTAGGTAATGCATAACATATAACAACACAATTTTTTTTTGTAACAAGGAGGCTTATATTGACAACAAAACAGTCATCGACCCTCGAACCAGCTGGAGAACTAATCACCCTAGACAGAGCAATATGATTCGCTGATCTTGTAGTGGGTCTAAATGAGCCTAACGTGGCCAGAGCAAAACCCTCATCACCCCCACCTAATGTAAGAGTCTGGCGAAAATAAACGTACATGACAAACAAAACAACATGAATATCGAAGTAAAAACACAGACTAAAACAGAAATAGAAATAGGCTTCCAAACCCTAGTCGCACAATTCCTCCATGGCGGCGGTTCAGGAGGGAGACGAATCAACATCTCTTCGTCTTCTTTCGCCCAAAAAAGATCACCGCTACCTGCCCTGAATTCCTCTAATCCAAGATCTTCCCCCCTAGGTGGTGGTTCGGGAGGAGGACAAACTGTCGATTTGTCTTCCCCCTCGACAAGCTCTTCACAATTTTCAAGCCGCTCCTTGTCCTCCTCCTCCTTAGTGGTGGACTCGAGTCGAGCCGCCTGGCCCGTGAACCGGCCCAGTCCGCTACTGTGCGGTCCCGGGACCGGCCCGGTTCACCGGTCCGGGTACCGGGCTTTGACCCGGCCCGAGGGAGAGACGCTTCCTGGCACGGTTCCTTCAAAACGAGATCTGGCCGAACCCAGGACCGGTTCGAGCCAAAATCAATTTTTTTATGTTTTTTCATTTTTTTTATTCCAACGAGTTGGGCTGGGTGTCTTGGGGGGGGGGGGGGGTTAATTAGAAAAGGCAAAAAAAAAATATAAAGAGGCCTGAGGACCGGCCCGGACCCAGACCGGACCCGGTAGCTACCCGGGCCGGTCCCGGGCCCAACTATTCAGAACCGGCGGCCCACCCGGGCCTAGGCCCGGCCAGAATCCAGCCCTACACCTCCTCAAAAACCAAGTCTTTCCACGATTGCATGAGATTTGTCATGGACGCCGCTGTCTCCTTGGACTCGCCCCCTGTCATCATCCCCGGATGCTGAAGCAATAGGATGCATATTTATATTGTAACAATCAATCTACTAAATTAATTGTAGGTATAATTAATTTATACAAAAAAAAAATCGTTGATATATTGGATTGGTTATCAAACTTTCATATGTAATTTAAATACCCCTTTGAAAATATTTTAGCATTCATTAATATATAATTAATATTCTAAACTTTCGTTGTAAAATAAAAAATACTACTCTCATTCTATATAATTGCAACATTTTTAATTTGCTATTTTAAATTATGCAACTAACACCGTAAATTTCTATTTTTGAAAAAAAAAATATGACCATGGTGCTAAAGTAACTTTTTATACTTCCTCCGTTCCTTTTTAATTGCAACAATCAACATTTCACGTTTCCCAACGTACAAGTTTGACCATTAATATCTTTCATTCCTTAATAGTAAAAAATTTTAAAAATTCACATTTTGAAAATTTAGAATGAGAAGAATTTAACAACATTTTTAAAAAAATTAATTTATAATACATTAATTAATAAAATATAGTCAAAGTAGAATATGTGAATAGTATAAAAAATCCAATGTTGCGATTAAAAGAGAACGGAGGTAGTATAAAGTTTGGGGTATTTAAATTACATATGAAAGTTTGAGGTGTTTATCTCACACTTCTTCAAAGTTTGGGGTACTTTATTTATTTTTCCCATTTTTTTTTAAACTTCATTTTTAGCTTTTAGACACACAAAAAACTTAAAAGTATTTTTTAAACGTTTGCAAGCATTGCCTAATTACTAAGAAAAATTCGAATTCCAAATTCTTTTCATTTTTTGGGCCTATGGCCAAATTCTTTTTAAACGCCGCCCCTAGTTATTTTATAGGGAAAAGGGGCCAAAGCCCCCTTCAAGTAGTCTAGAAAGGGTATCTATGCCCTTGGACTTATTTTATGTGCAAAAAGCTTTAAAAATAGTGAATGGAGGGCATCTACCCCCTTGTTAACGGTGAGTCAGGTAACGGAAGCGGGAAGTATTAAAGGCTGGTTTGCAACCACTTTAAAAAAAGCACTTCTCAGTTTTTGGCTTAAAAAAGCACTTATTTACCAAACACTACCAATTTTTTATTTTTCTCGGCTTTCGTGTCAAAAGTGTTTTTCCACTTTTTATACACCAAACTCACTTATTTTACCAAATACTACCAACTTTTACTTTTCAAAATCACTTTTTTCTCAAACACTATCAACTTTTACAAATAATCACTTTTTCCAAATCACTCCAAAAGTGCTTTTTTTAAAGCAGAAGCTGTTGCAAACACTCCCTAAATCTGTTCCTTTTGTAATCATGACCGTATTTAACTACTTAAATCTGACAATATATTTTACATTCTTCTGTTACTTTCAGCTTGTGTGCTCTATGAAAAAAAATACGTAGTATTTCACTATTTTGGTGAAAAATTAGGATATACTTTTTCTCTTTTTAAATAAGTGCAACATGTTGAAATTTACAATATTGATACACTCTTCTTTTATTACACTTTATTTATTAATGTAATAATAAATTATTATTTTTGAAAGTATTTCTAATTTTGTATCATTGTAAATGTTTAAAATCTGTTTTTTATTAATAAAGAATAGAACTCGCTCCGTCCCTAAATAACTTATCAATTTTCTTTTTTCTTCTATCTCAATTTTTTTGCAAGGAATTTGTGGTTTACAACATGTTTTACACATTCTTACACATTTCTCTCTCACTTCAATACAACTCTGAACTCTCCATCATACAATTTTCTCTTTTTTCATTCCCGTGCAAAACAATCTTTGAAAGATAATTCAAGGGCGGATGAAGTATATATTAATGGTCAAAGTTATGCATTAACAAATATGAAAAAGTGAACTTTGGCACTTACTTAAGAATGACGGAAGTATTACGCAATTATCGATTTATCATGAATAACAAATACAACAATATCTATTAAAAAACAAATACAATACACATTAATTGGTTTATGCTATGATTAAATGGCATAAGTTTCCGCCTTCTAGCTTTTGTACTGTGCAAAAAGTCTCTAAAAGCTTGTGGTTATATGTTTGGCATGGCAATTTTTAAGAGCTTTTAAAAAATAAAAGATCTTTTTTTGAGATGCTACATGGAGTAACATCTGAAAAAAGCATGTGACTCTTAGTACTAATTAGTTCTAATAGCTTGTATATCAAACTGAACTAAATGAAACAGTCAGTTTTTTTATCAAACAGCTACCACATTTTCTTTTTAAGATCTTTTCAGTCACTAAAAGATAACATTATTAAAAAGCTCACAAATGTAAAACATGTTGTGAATCACAAATTCAGAAATTCTTTAATAAAAAGATTATTTTTAGACACACGAAAAAGAAAATTTGAAAACTAATTCAGGGGCGGAGCGATTATAATACTTTATTAATAAAAAAAGATTTTGAAAATTTACAAAGGGATAAATTTAAAAATATTTTTAAAAATAATTATTTATTACATTAATAAATAAAACATAATTAAAGTAGATCATGTGAATAAAGTAAAATTCAACATGTTACACTTATTTAAGATGGAAGGAAGTGTGTCATGATTTTAGGATCAAAATATATTAGATTTACTTCTCCCGCTAAATTAAAAGAAAAACATAAAAAAAATCAGGTTAAGATTGATACTACGTATATCATATATACGGTCATAATAACATAAGAACAAATATAATAGTTGCCAGTCTGGCCACTTCCGTTTAAACGGTTCACCGTTAACAGGGGTGATTGCCCTTCTTTAGTTGATTTTAAAGTTTTATGCCCACAAAAGAAGTTTAAGGGCATAGATACACTTGGGTGGCAACTTCAAGGGGGTTTTGCCCCTTTTCCCTATTTTATATGCATGACAAATCAACTTCACCCATTTCCCTATACATTAGATAGTGATTGTTGGAATGTGTGGCACGAGAAAAATAAAGAGTGCCTATAGTAGTAGGGTTATTTGGACAAAATTTTCATTCGTTATCTATGATCAAAGTTTAATTTATATCATCTCAGTTAACTGTCTAGGTGGTATCGAGAATTCTAAAAGAAAGAGTGTCATCCATTTACTATAGTAGTAGGAATGGACCCAGTCCGCCAATCTCGACCGCCCCGATGCTGTTTTAGATCGGCCCGGTACAAGTTTTCCGGCTGGTCTAGCTATGACCAATCCCATCGGAATCAATCTACTGTTACCCGA